CTGTACAAGTGGGCCAGCCAGGTTCGGTGTCGAACGCCGTAATCTCGGCTACTCGGGAGGTTAAAGCAGGGAGGATTGCAAGTTCGAGGCCAGCCTGGCAACTTACTGGGACCCTGTCTCAAATAACAAAGGCAGCTTGGGATAACTCGGTGTTCTTTGGATTCAGTCCCCAATACCATGAGGGGGAAAAAAGGTGAATTATTAAGTGTCTGGCCTGTTGGTTTTAACCACACATTGTTTTGTTTTCTTACATTCTTACAAGCTGTGCTTTCATTTTATAGACAGTCTAGCAGTGCAATTCTAACCTCAAAAACTAATCAGGCTGTCCACACAGATAACCACCATGGTTCAGCTGGGATCCAGAGTCGGTGACACGAACACAATGTCCGGTTCCTGGGCTCGGCACCAGACCAGATGCCATCAGCCACTCACTTCACTTTCTCTTTGAAAGGAGACTGGGCCAGCTACAACCCAGAGGCTCTGGTGTCCCAAACTGCACTCACACCATGATAAGTTGTGCAAAGAACTCGCCCAGGAAGAAGCCTACCAGGAAGGCAGCGAGGTGACGTGACACCAAGCAGGGAGGCTGTACCAGGAACGGAGGCGCTCAGAACCCCATTAGCTCCTTTTCTGTTTGTCTGTTACTACTACTTACGTATGTGGTTGCTTTTTTAGTGGAATGGCCTGTTTTCTAAGCGGAATCCATAAAGACGGGCCCCTCTGCATTCCGAGCTGCTGCGTGCTGGGGGGCCTCTGTCCTGTCCCGGAGGGCGGGCTGGTGCCTGCGGACCTCACCCAGCCATGTGTGATGTGGTGAGGACCCCATGGCAGGGCACTAACACGTGTCGCATGGCAGCACTGGGCTGCTGGAGACCTGTGAGGAAGTAACAGGTCCTGTGGGGATTGCAGGGTAATTTAATCAGCAGCACTTCAGCACAGCGGAACTCGAGGGCAGGGAAATAATGAAGTCAGCACTCAGTACTGCGTGCTCTGTTCAGCCTAAGGGGCAGACGTGACCCACAGCTGCGCTTCCACCTTGGCACCGTGGACCCTGTCGCGGATCCTGCAGGGCTGGGGCTGTCCTGGGCAGCATGCGATGCTGATAGCATCCCCAGCCTCCTTCCCCTAGGCGCTGCCAGTACCTTCCCCACTCCTGTTGTGACAAAGATGTCTCCAGACATTGCCAAACATCCCCCCAGGGGGCAAAATTGCCCCTGGATGAGAACCACTGTCCTAGATCTACCAGAAAAGTGAGTTCGTGAATATGTGAGCTACTTGAGTGTTACACAACCGAAAAAGAAGAGAAGGGAATTAATTTAAAAATGCGCCATGAGTAATTGGGAAGAAAAAGACAAAAAAAAGGTCAAGTGACAGAGGTGATGAACCATACGTGAATGATAAATGGCCAATCAAAACACGGAATGGAGATCATCTCACTAAAAACTGAATAAATAAAACTTAACAGCACTTGTGTATGTTACTGTTTAGCTTCCAGACATACAGAAAGGCAAAAAACAAACCCCCTTTTACAAGCCAGACCTCACTGTTCAGTATGAGTTTTGATATATATAAAAAGGAATGTTATGAATTTAAAAAAATGCTAATACACAGACAAAGTAGAATACTGAAATACATTAGAAAAGAGTTGAAATCCAGTAACACAGGGTTATCAGGGGTAGGACAAAACACACTCTAATACACATTAGGTAGTGTAAATTGGTGAAAATAATTCAGATAAACACATAAACATGTATACAAAAGCAAACCATCAGTGTATTATTCCTAGTAGCAAAAGCAACAACCAACCCTGGAAAGAAGCTAACTGCCATCAGCAGGGAACTAATAACAGTATTGCATAGCCATGAAATTGACACTATTGTGGCCAATGAAATTACAGGGGTCTATGTGTAACATGCAAGGACCATTGCGAAGAGGAGAAAGTGCCCTCCTTTTTTCCTGGAAAAAGTTGCAGAGAGGGCTGGAGGTTTATTTAGCTTAGTGGCGCCACACCTGCCTGGCAAGTACAAGGTCCTGAGTTCAATTCCCGGCACCAAAAGAAAAGTCACAGAGAAGAGAAAAAGGGCTGCCACTTATCACTAGGACGTGTGATTTCAGGTTATTATTTTTATCATTTGATATTTCTGAATATCTGAAATTTTTCATCTTTCCCAACAGTACATGACAAGAGTTCTACAATCCTTGCCCTTGCCCACTCCCTGCCCGCACTCCCGACAGGCTGTAGACAGTGACTTCCTGCCAAGGAGAGAGAGATGTGACCAACCCCAGTTTACAGATGAATGGATGGTCTGCGAGTCAGGAGGAAAGCAGACTGCCCAAGGCCACACCATGAGCACAGTTCTCTCCCGCCTGAGAAGAAATCCCAAACAGGCAGTCTCTGTACATCCACAGCTCACATGCAAATGCCACGGCCGGTGAGAGCTGTCGACTGTCCTGACCCCACAGTTCACTCCAGAAGCCACCACGAGGAGGCACTTCCGAGAGGCCACACCAGCCTCTGGGGACCAGGAGGGGCCCTCACTGCTCTGAAAGGCTCCTCTGCTTTCTGTGAGCCCCCAGCTCCCTTCAATACCAGCTCCCTGCCGCCTGGAAGGCAGCTCAGCCCCTTCCAGCGCCTGTTTCGAGCCCTTGGCTCTACTGGAAGTTTCTCCCCCAGTCAGGACACTTCCTACCCTTACAGTCCCAGGACAAGCATGGTGAATAAGACTCGGAAGGGGGGGAAATGCTCAGAACTACCCAACTACCTTTCACCTAAAGCACTCAATAGTTACATTTTTTTTCTAAAATAAAGCTGTTTTTGTCCTTTCTGGGATCTTTTCCTAAACTCTCAACATGGTAACATGCAGTTTGCTAGGATCTGGACAAATAAAACTACAACAAAATCCCTGATTATAGAACCACTCAGGCAAGGAAACCAGAAACCAACCAGCGTGGTGCCACCAAGGATGAGGGCTCAGGTTGGAGCGGACCTCAAGCCAGGTGCTGTGGTGCTGGCTTTGTTACCCAGCTAGCAAAAGCAGCACACACACCCCTAATTGACTTAAGTACAAAAACATACTCCACGCCAAATGCAAATGGCCTTCGGATTACTGACCTACTCAATACGATACGTACACCACGCCTGACCTCTGGTGGCCGGGACAATTGAAACCCACATGCCCTGGGGCAGACAGAGCAGGGAGTCTGGGCTGGAGCTGCCAGGGCGGGTGGGAAGGACGCTGGAGCAGAATCAAGACGAGGCTCTGGTTTGGGTTCCGTCATTCAATCTCAGCGGGGACACTGGAGGTCTTCACCTCTCTCTATTTCCTCATCTACGCAGTGGAAATACGGCACCCTGATTTCTGATCAGAAGGTTGCAGTCACTGTGTGAAAGCAATGAACATGTACAATGTGCTATTCATATTCCAGTGCAAAGTCAAGACACCCATAAACAGGGCAAGCTGTGTCCATTAAGTCTACGTTACACTGCTCAGGGCCTGAAGTAACCTCAAAGAAGAGGGTGACACCAACATCAACCAGGGGAAGAACGACAGACTCCGTGCCAAGTTTCCGGAAAAGATGAGTGATAAACATGTGGCCATGCCGCCGCTCTGTCAGAGTCTGACTCCACACTGCTGAGTATACACAATCTGAAGAGCCAAGTGCACATTTGTTGGGATCTTACCGTACAAAACAGTTGCCTGACAGTGAACCCTCTAAGAAAACGTATTTAGGGGGGCAAATTGGGGAGGTAACTATAGCAGAGGAAGTAAAGGAAATTCCCACTGCATACTGCAGAAACCTACATACCAGAAGGCAAACAGGGCCCAAAGAAAAAAAGCTCCACTGAAAAGCAATTGTCAGGCTGAGGCAGAGGATCACCATGGTGAGGCCAGCCTGGATGACACAGTGAGTTCAAGGCCAGCCTGATCTATTATCGAAAGCCTATCTGAAAACAAAACAAAACAAAACAAAAAAACCAGAAAAGGAAAATAGTTGTTAAACCAGGCACACTGGGTGCACACCTGTAATCCCAGCATCCTGGGAGGCAGAGACAGGAGGACTGCAAGTTCAAGCCCAGCCTAAGCAATTTAGCAAATTAGTGAGACCCTGTCTCAAAATAAAAAACAAACAGAAAATAAACCAGCACCCTGCTTCCAGGTCAACTTGAACAACTGAAAAAATGAAAACCGGCTTGCCTCAGGCCCAGGTCAGGGAGGAGTCTGGGAAAGAGGCTTGTGCTGACGTGCCTCCTGAAATCCAAGGCAGGATGTTCAAGGCCAGGATGACTTAATCTCAGGGCCAAACACTGCACACCGCACGAGCCAGAGAGATCCACTTTACAGCTGGAAAATGTACAGCGCGTTAAGCCCTGGGTCCAGGACACAGCAGCAGCGCCCCTGTGCGGTACTCTAACAGTGACAATCACACACGTCTCCCACAGAGGGTAGCTACAAGAAACTACGGCCCTTTCACACAAAGCTGGGTTTTCGGTCTCAAAACTGAGTGGTGAACCTATGGCACATGTGCTGCAGCGGGTTGTTTGTACCCCTGAAAGCTCTAAAAGGTTTGCCATCACTGTCATCTGTAGGTTACAGCCTCAGAGGCTGACAGCAGAAGGGAAGAAGGGAGACAGCAGGTTGCACTGGCTCTCGCCTCACCACCAGGCCTCCGTGACAGGACAAGGCAGACGGGTGCCCTGTTACTGCGGCTACTGTGGGCAGTGGGAAGAGCGCTGCACCAGGCAAACTCCTCCAGGACAATGGGCGGATTTCTGGCTGAAACAGGGCCTCTCAGGACCCAGGGTACGAGTATATCCAATCTCCAGAAGAAAAGGGCCTGAGGGCCCATGGCTCTAAAGTGCTGGTGGTTTCACCCAGGACTAGAACAGAGCAGTGTCTTAGAGTTTTCAGATAATTTTAGAGATGCTAGGATATGCTTACTAGTTGTATGCAAGGCCCAGTCTTGAAGATGCTGTTAAATCAAAACCAAAAACAACTACCTAGAGAGAATATCCATTTTATCGGGTGAAGGGATGATTTAACCCATGAAACTAAGAAGCAGCAAAAGTATTTCCTTGAGTATATTCAAGTAGAGTAGCAAGGCATTGTCCTACATCAAACATTGTATTTTTCCCACTTCTTCAAAGAAATCCAATAAATAAATGTACAGCGAAAGGGCCTGGATCAAAATGGCAACGGACACCAGACCAACCCCAGTCCTGGGTCCCTGTGCAGTCAGTGCTGGCCCAGCCCAGCCTGCAGCTTTCTTCCCACACGACTGGCTGCAGACTCCCCACCGCCTGACTGAAGGGCTCCATCTGGTACTGGCCCATGGCGAGTGGAGCCCCGTGACACCACAGGAGGTCAAAGCGAAGGCACGCTGGTGTTCTGGCACCACCTGGCTCCTCCAGTGGACCGGCCTGGGCAACGGAGGGGGCCCAGGTGAGCTCTCCAGGGAACGGCCTGTCAGTCTGTCCGTCACTCGGGGAAGAGCTCAGGCGGGCTCTCTCCGTAGCAGTACTTGGCTATGGGGTCCCGGTAGGTGTTCTCGTGCTGCACACTCTGTTGGCAAGAGGAAGACAGGCTGTGGTGAGAGGGCAGAGCTGCACACACTTCCCTCTTAGGAGCTCGAGGGAGTCCATCTCAGCTGGCATGCCAAGGAACGTTCTGGAGCACAGGAATGCCAAAGAAGCGGGCGAGATGGATCCAACCTCACCACATGACTGCTCTCCCGTCCACCACAGAGCTTCTGAATAACCTAAGTGTAGCCTGGGTGGACTGAGACAACTACTTTTTCTCAAATTATCTGAAACAGATTAAGATCCAACAGGTGATTGCACCTAACCCGGCGCTCCAAAAAAAAATTCAGTCCCCAGTAAGAGGCCCCGCAGAGACGCTATGGAGATGCACTTCAAACAGCTTCCAGGAAGTTTATGGAACCAAAGTTCTGGTGCAGGAGCCAAACCCCACAAAACCGCACAGGCCCCATTTGGCCCAGCAGAGTCCAAGTGTGATTTAGAGCGATCATCCCCAATGGCTAATTTTTCAGCAATTTATTTTCATACAAGCAACTTGAATTTTTGGCTGGCCTGGCGTTCATTAATTAGCCTACGACCAGTGCTAAGCAACTAAAGTGTAAGTATTCATCCAGTTTAATAGACACACAGCCAAATCGTCTCCCCCCAGGATACAGTTATCAAGCAACACTGAATGGCAACTGGGAAATCTCTACAATAAAAAAGAAAAGGCAGAAAGTAGAGTAGCTTCACTTAAGATTGGAAATAGGGCTGGGGATTTAGCTCAGTGGTTTCGCCGCCTGCTATGCAGGCGCAGGACCGGAGTTCGATCCCCAGTACCAAAAAGAAAAAAAAAAAAAGTTTGGAAATAACTCCTGGGTTTTATCAGTTGAGGAAAAAAATACTTTGCCTTTTCTAGCATTTCTCAGAATGAGGGAGGATATGAGGCAAAGTGAGTGCAGCCTTCCTCCATCGTTCCCTTCAAGTCCATTCTAGCGGAAAGCTCTTCCAGCAAAACAAGCCTGTCAGGACTTCTTAATGCTCTCAAATGCTTACTATACCGCTGCAACTTAAGAGGACACTGGATGCTCAGAGAGTCAACAGGGGCACAAAACCCAAAGGTGGACCACAGAAATCTGGCAAAGGGTACAAGTTTCAGAAAATGACAAATGAGTCTGTTACTTCAGACAAAGCCAGGAAAATCTTGGTGACATTGTGAATAGCAGCCAGAGGGGGGTGTTTGTCTAATAAGCACATTTGGTGGTTTTCCAAATGCTCTGCAGGCTGTGAGGCAGAGGCACAGGCTTGGACGCTCTCCGTGGCAGAGGCAGCAGCAGATGTGATGTGTGACGCCCAAAGAGCACGGTGCTGATGACTGCACACTAATGTGCTGCAAGGCCTTGAGTTATTCATGTATTTTTAAACCCCACCTGCCTGATCCCCTTGAATCCTAAATTAAACCACAACTCTGCCCCAGAACAAATTATTGCTTATTCTAAATGAGGGGTTGCTGGAAAGCCTTAGTCAAGTTTCAGTCGAAGGAGGGGCGAGATCATCTAGGAGCTGGGCTATTAGGACTCCACCCAGACTTGAAAAAATTTTTTGCTTCCACTTAAGTGCAAACAGGCCCAGCAGACAGGTGAGCTGCGAGCTGATTGGACCCTGATTTAACATTAGTGGTTTACCTCCCCTAACTTGGGCAACTCTCATGCTGCCATTCTAACGCTATCATTACCCCAAACAAAGCAAGGCATAGCTGCACTCCAGCCTTTTCTCCATTGTCACTCCACCCAGTGTGTTCCTGCTGGTTTCCTCCAGCTGCCGATCCTACCTTCCTCCCCCAGGGAGAGATGGAAGAGCTTCTGACCTGGGAGGAGGTCCTGCATTTAGCCAGACATAACTCGAAGTGGTCTTCAACTGCCAGGAAGAGGTTCTGGAAGGCCACAGCTGCCCGGTTGAGGAAGCGCTCTAGGAGAAGTTGCTATGGAAACAAAAGTTAGTACCTATAATAATTCCAGACCAAGCCAGTACAAGGTAACCTTGGATCTCTCCCCTCAAATAAGAGAATGCTGATATGGGGGAGGGAAAGAGGGAGCCAGGGCTCTTAGGCACTAAATATCTAATCAGCCAAACAATGTTCCATTCTGTGAAAACCATTCAAGTCACTGGGAACCAGAGCCCTTGCAGACAAAGGCTGCTGCACAGCAGTGCGGCTGCCTCCTAAGTTCCTTTCTGACTCTTATAATCAGAAGAAGCTCCCTTGGGGAGCCGAAGCCCCACCATAAAATCAAGGCTGGAAGAGAGAGAGAGGCCCGGGGAAGCCGCCCCGCGTACCTTGCTGGGCTGCAGGCAGCAGGAGACACAGTATTCGTAGGCTCCACAGCAGCCGTTGGCCAGGCAGCCATCACAGCAGTACTGCTTCGCGCTGGGGATGCTGACATCACAGCAGCCATTGGCCAGCAAGTCCTTCCGCTCACAGACATAGCCTGCAATTCAGACACCAGCCTCAGCATGAAACCAGCTGTCCCCACCTCCCTATCAAGGGTACCCAGGAAGCAGCAGAGGAGCCAGGTACAAGAAGGCAACAAAGAAGGTGGCAGTGGGGGAACCCTAGGCACCGAAGATTCACAGTGGACATCATGATGAACGCTGGCATCCCCGAGCGAGCGGTACAGAAACTGGGACTCCTGTGGAACTAGGTTCTATGTCACCACCTTCCCAGACCTTTCAGTCTGCTGTCCCTTGTTGGATCTCATCACCATGGCAAGCCACTCCCAGAGTTTGTGTTCTGACCTATGCAAGCCAGGCTCAGGCTCTCATCTGGGCCTGAAGGACAATGTCACTTCTTTAAAAATTAGTAATAATCATCCATCATCTGAAGATAGGAAAAACAAAGGCATTTATTTACAAAAGTGAGATCTTTCTAGATCTGAGGAACAAATATTCTTTAAAAATACCTTTTAATGGGACTAGGGATTTAGCTCAGTGGTTTTGCCACCTGCCGCGCAAGCACAAGGACCCGAGTTCGATCCCCGTTACCAAAAAAAAAAAAAAAAAAAAAAAAACCTTTTAATGTATGCCTGTAATCCCAGCACTTGAGAGGCTGAGGCAGGAGGATCACCATGCATTTGAGGCCAGCCTGGTCTACATAGTGAGAGCTTGTCTCAAAAAACCAAAAGCCAAGCATATACACACACATATACACACTCACGTGCACACGCATACACACACATATATTTAAATGCTTGTTGGTTATTTAGTAATTTAGAGGATTTTTCACACAGAAATAGTCACGTCTAACCTTTTTGAAGCTGATTTACTTTGCCTGCAACTGTACATACCAGGGACTCAATCCTCCTGAGCATTAGGGAACATAATTCTCTAACACCTAGGGAACAGAAAACTTCCCAACTCCCTGCACTCCTTAGAGATCCCATCATCCAGATATACACATCCCCTCCACACCAGTCGATTCATGCTCTACTTTAGAAGAAGAACATCCTTACGGAAGCTAATTTATAATTCAGAGCTGCTAAACAGACATTTCTCTACATCCTTCCGGGAGTGGGACAGAGAAATGTAGGAGTAAGCCCACGAGGGCCACCACCGGGCCTTGAGAAGCTCCAGGTGCATGATGGGCCCCGGGTGTGTGCAGAGGCCCCAGGTGCGGAGCAGCTGTTCCCACATCGCTCCACTCCAGACGCCCCAGCTTCCCAGTCCTCAGAGAACGACATTTGGTAAAGTATAAGGCTGTTTTCAGAAACTACTCTGGAAAATAATACTGTGCAAAAGCGGGAGGCACCAAAAGAATGACAACGATGGACAGACTGAGGGGCCTCACCTAATGTTTGGGAAACGGAGGCCTGGAGAGGACCAGAGCCTAGACATCCGGGAACTGGTGCCTTTTGTTGTATGGCTGTAAACTATGCTATCCCACCTCCTAACTTAGAAGAGGATGGGGCCACGGATTTAGCTCAGTGGTGCCGTCGCCTGCCTCACAAGCGCAAGGTCCCAAGTTCGATCCCCGGTATCAAAAAAAATAAAAATAAAGTAAATTAAGAGAGGATGCTTTTAATGTCATACATAGTAAATACTTCTGGATTCTTCCCAAGTATTCCTATTCATTTTCTTTATGGGTATCATCATCAACAACAACAACCACAAAAATCCAAGCGAGCTGGCATTTTTCTCAAGAGTTCCTTCCAAATGATACACTCTGTGCTAGAAAGATGTAAAATATTATGTGACCTAAACTCCACTTGCTGAAATTATCTGCCTGCCCTGTTCCACCATATAAATGTCAGTGTCTCAGGCGTTCTTTTCCTTCCCAGTGCCAACTCCCAGCATTTGGCCTTGAAACTGCAGGTCTAACTTCTGGGGAAATAAGTTCATTGATCACTCATTTCGCATCCCGAATCTACTCATGCAAATGTTATTTCCAACAAGGAGTCCTGTGAGATCACAGCCTCAAAATGTGTTGCTATTGCCAGGGAAATTAACTTTCAACCTCTGAGAACTTTGTAATTCTAATCGGTTGTCTTATTTAATAATGTGTTAGTCTGGCAATATTCACGGTGGCATCTGCTTGCTAAAAGGCATAAAAAACTTGTTACAAGTTTTGTTTATTAAATCACTTCTCCAATATTCATGAAGATAAAACCTATAGCTCTTGGGTTTTCACTGGTGGGTTAATTCCTAGAATTTTTCACTCCAGGATTTTGTGAGCCTTTGTTTCCCTAAATTAACCAGAAGAAGAGTATTCTTTTGCTAGCTATGATAAAAGAACATGACTGTCAGGTAAAAGGGCCGAAGACCAAGACCAGACCAGGCCACAACAAGCCTTTATTAGGGGAATAGATCTGCCAGGCTGTCTCTGAACAAAGGAGAAACAAAAGCAATATGGCCGGGGCAGGGAGAGTCTTTTATAGAGACTGGGGTGGGGTTTGTAGGGGCTGAGGCGGGGTTGAGTGAGGTAGTGACTAGGGAATGGAGAAGCCGGTGATGTCACCAGGTGGTAGGAGGTGAGCGAGTATTAGGTTACTCTCTAGGCGGGAACAGGGGCATGCTGGGAAGAAGGGTTTATTCTTTGGTGGGAGCCTCCATCTTGGCATGACGTCACACAGGGGAGGGGGCAAGGCACGATAGGAAGAGGGCAGCCACTATACATAAGAGCTGCTGAGGTGGTGGGAGACCTATCAATGACATTCTGCTTATAATGCAGTGCTAAATATTAAAGTTAAAGCATAACTTTAATGTTCATTTTATTTTCCTGTTTTCTCAGTCTGTCAGAAATAGGCCCCTGCACCGAGCCGAGACTCCTGTCCTAGTCATGGTCTACCCATTAACTAGCTGTGGCATCTTGTGGAAGCTCATTTCCTTTACTCAGCTTGGGTATGTGCTCTTCTCCCCAGGTGAGCAATTTTCCTCTGCATCTTTTCTTTATTTTGAAATAATCTCATCTCTAGTTGAGGACTTTGAGACCTGTTTGAAAAGTTTCGTTATTGTGCAGGGGGTGCAATTTTTTTCTTTTTGTTGTTTAGCCGTAATGCACTCCGGCTTTCATTTTAAAGACAGCATGTATTTTGTTCGGGTTGGCTTCTTCACAAGTAGATGGAGATTCCAATACAGGCTTACCTTAATTCCAATACTGTCATGTTCATAATCCATTTGTTCTGAAACTCCTTGAAATGGGGTGAAATTTATGCTTACAAACAAATTTTTAAAACTATGTTATTTGCAAACTGCTAGTTGAAAAAGAAAAAGAAATCTGCAAAGCAATCAGAACACTAGATATCCTCAAGGAGAAATTGCTACTTCTCTCATGTGGCAATGGTATTTTGTGTTTATGGGTTATAAATAGAGTCCCTGGGCGTCTGGGGTAAGTTCCTTAACTTGGTGTCTATCCCTTCACCTACAAAGGCGGCTTAGGGTTGTTGCAAAATCAAAGGAGGTGTTCAAAGAATGGCTGTGGCCCAGGGGCAGCACTCAATGCCGGCTAAGCAGTGGGCGGAAGGAGTCTCTTCAGGAGGCCGGAGTCACCTCCACATGGTAAGAGCTCTAGCTGGGCTGGAGTCTGTCTCACCAACACAGCAATCGCCTTTCTTCCTTTAAGCTTAAAAGAAGTGAGAAAGCCTTCCGCTGACATGCTCACTGTAAGGAGAACACATCTGAACGTGTCTGTAACTCGTCTGAAATTCTCTGGTCAGTCCATCAGCAAGTGCATTTCCTGAGTGTCAACACTGTGCGTTTTCTTCAGGAGGAAAACCTGGCTCTTATCCTACAGCTTTCAGATCAAGATAAGAAGGAAAGAGCATCCAGCTCCAAAGCTAGGACACTGCCGAGAGATCAGGAGCAGCCTAGAGACTGATGGACCGTAAGGTACTAACACTGGAAGCTGCAGGCAAGAGGAAGTGTCAAGAACGGGAGTCACCAATCCAGGGGCTCTGATGGGCGAGTACAGTAGGAAAGATAAAGCAGACGCAGGAAACCTTGGAAATAAACACAGAGGGAAAATCCACTATGGAAGAATCCCTACTAAAACCTGAGCTCTATGGTGGCCCAGCGGCACACAGTCTCCTGACCGTGGAAGGGCAAGGGTGGCCACCTTACCTAGCTCGTCCGTGATGAGGTGCTTCCCTTGAATGGAGTTTCGGCACTGGTTGCTGGGCCGGCTGCTGTTGCCCAGGTTAAACTGCACCTTCCACGGAATAGGCTGCTCATGGTCTCGAATCTGGAGAAGGTTCCGATCTCTCACCGCCCTCTCCTCCTGCAGAGAGACCATAAACGAGAAGGTTAAAGGACGTTTTCTCAAACCTCACCAAGTTTTCACCGAAACTACGGGAAGAGGATAGAAACACTAAAAAGTTTGCACTGCAGGAATCCGTTCTTCTGATATAACCAAAAGTCCAAGCAAAGTCATGAAATAAGCCAGCATGAAAAAGTAGTAAGTTAGGGCTTTGCTTACCAATTGACATATTTACACATATGGCCCAGGATGATATGCACATTATAAATGTATATAAAAGTATTAGTTTTATGAAAAAAAATTTGGAAGAAATAAAGCTTTTTTTTCTTATGGAGAGTCATTTAGGGTTTTTTTTAATGTTAAAACAAATACATTGCAGAATAGAATGCAAAACTTAAATATTTTTAAAATAGAAGAGGAAGTATTTTTTGTGACTGTCATCTCAGACTGTAGCCAGGCACATCGAGAATATGAGGTCCCTTTCATATGTAGTTGCAGGTACTTTGCTACGTGCATATGGGAAACCCGAATTAAGGGCTGACTTTAGGGGTCAGAAGGAGCAGGTCACCTCACACGAGTGTTCTGTGAAAGAATACTGCGTATGCCAGCCTTACGGCACCTTTCTCCACAGAGCCATCCTGGCCACGCAGCCTGCTGCCCAAATGGACAGAGGGAAGAGCTGCCCTGGGACATGATTTTAGACCCTTTCTCTTCATCTTCCAGCCAAGCCCTGAAATAACAGAGCTTTCAAAACCACTTTTTTTATACTACTAATGAAACTAAGGAGGAAGGTGCCCCAGTGCCAGAAAATAAGCCAAGCATGAGACAGCCATCTTCTGGATGCTTCAATTCATTACTGGAAAACAAAACAATTATAAAAGACTCTCCCGGAGGCTTTCATGGACATTAAACATTCACCACTCTAATAGAGTTCCTTGGCTTTTGCCATTAAGAATGATTTGTCATGTGTTGCTTTTTAAGCAAAGGGGACTGACTTTGAAAATTTAATGGCAAAGCTTATTTACTTTTAAAGAATGGAAAAGATCTTTGTACTTACTAAGGTTTCTTTAGGAAAATAATCTGGGAACAGCTATTAACATTTAAAATACACACGCCCATGTACTTTTGGCCCAGCAAACCCTTTCTGAGGACCATCCACTAGAAAACACCAATGTGTAAGGCGCTGACTACAGCACTGTTTCAACATCAGAGAAAACTGGAAAGCCAACAGGGAATGACTGAATAAATACTGGTATAGACCTGCAGTAAAATCAAAGCTAGACTGCAGTGACAGCTATATAGGTGGTTCTTAAATCTAACTTGCATGCAAGGTTATGCACAGAGCTTAAGACAAATTCTGGGTAAGACTTAGAATTGATCCCCGAGCCTACTATCAGACAAGGAGAAAAGTCTGTGGAGGAGACCAGGAAATCAGTATTTCTAAAGTACTCAGGTGACTTTAATAGGTAGACAGGGTTGCAAACTGCTGGATATGTGTAACATATTAAATAAAAAAGCAAGGTGCAAAATAATGCGTGTATTGCCACATGGTATATTATTATGATAATATAACACAGGGCAGTGGGAGCAGTACCTTGATAAAGGTATAGAAAGATATAGTACAATTATTACTGTGGGAGGGACATGAGTAACTTAAAATTTTATCATCTTTGGAATATTATTTTCAACTTAAAACATACTTATCATTAACAGTAGGAGAAACTAAGAGTTCGCAAGAACTACATTATCTTTGCAACTTTTCTGTAAAAATGTAATTATTCCATAATAAAAGGTGTTTGTTTGTTTTTACAACAAACAAAAAACATGATTCCCAACATTAAAGACAGAAGCCACTCACAATTCCATCACTTCAATAAAACTGTGTTTGTTTTTTATTATTAGCTCCTGGCCTCTGACCCTGGTTCATACTACAAATTAGGATGTTTTGCATTTAGCTCTTCTTGACACTAATTGGATAGTAAAACATTTCCAAGTACCTACATTATCTTGATAATCGAAGTTTTAAGACTATATAATAATCCATCATGTTGATGTGCCATAATTTAGTGAACACATGTTCCACAGATCAACATTAGGCTCAGGCTTTTGTTGTCATAGATAGGACTGCAATAAAATATAGGGGTTTAAAAAATGGTCTTGAATAATTTATAATGATAAATTCTATATAGTGCCAAATAACTTCCCCAAAGTTTTAGCTACCATCTGTAATACTACCAGCATTTAAACAGCAGTGCTCCCAACTCTACCACAACCCCACCAGGCCTGGATTTTGTTCTTTAGTTTACTAAGTATGTACAAAGTAGTCCTTCAAGGTGGTCTTCACTTCTGTTCTGCCCCTCCCTTCTGTTTCTTTTAAAATAAAGAAATGGCTCTGGTAGGCACTGGATAGTTACACAAAAACAACATCTGTATTCCTCGGTTACTGCTAGAGGAGCTAAGTGCAGGAGTCCTGGGAATTGGGACAAATCACTTAGGTGCACACTGCTTAAGTATCTGAAAATTCATACCCGGCTGCCCTACTGGGACTGCATCAGTTAACTGCATAATCAAGCTTTGTGCGAGCTAAACTGAGCTGCAAATGCAGCTCTGGATAAATTAATAGCCATAAAGACTATTAAGAGGCTGGTCGGAGTACAGCAAAACGGCTCTTACAACAAGGTTCAAAGTGCCCTCAGCATTATTCCCAAGCTATCCTGTTATTCTTCCTGGAAGAAAACAGAGTTCACGGACAAGCGCACCTCAGATAGATCCCTGCCACGTAACTATACTCCTGGTAAACAGGAAAGCAGTTCTCCTAGCACTTGAACTTGTTTTCAAACATGAATATTCAAGCCCTTGCCCAGAGGACTGTGAGTAAGGCAGAGATGACATCATGTGATGCCCTGGCTCGAGTCCCTTTTCTGAAGGCCTGGTCTGTGGGCTGCGGGGAAGGACAGCTGGGACACTGCACCATCGGCAGGGAGTTTAAACTTTCCCCAACTCCTCCCCATCCTACTAGGTCGTCTCCACGCTAAGCTTTTCCCATGTACGTGTATACAGTTTTCATTCAAGATTTATTCAAAGGTAGGCATCTTCACAAAGGGCTAAGGATGCAGAGACAAAGGTAGTCAGGTTATCTGTTCTCCAGGAGTCTCCAGAAGCTGCTGGTGAGATGGTGCGCAGCACCGAATCAGTGCAATCACTGGCTGCAGATGTTACAACAGTGTCCACACAGGTACTCTGAGGTCTAAGAAAAAGCACGGGAACTGAAAGGAGCAAAAATATTCCCTACTTAATTCATAATTGGAAGGAGCTACTGAAATGTCTTTATCATCACTGCGTGTTACTCTGCTTTAGATTTTCAAAAGGTATATTAAGAACTGCTCTGTGGTTTTTAGAGATTATCCTAAGGGTCAAATGAGATAAATGTCCCAGGTAAATAGTGAGGCACTTAAACATGTATCGCTGCCCTGATGATTTGCCTCTGAGGGATGGGGATGTAGCTCAGTGTACAGCACTTGTTTAATATGCCCAAGAAAGAAAAGCTTGCTCACATATCCCAGAAAGAGGAAGGGATAAAGGCCAGAGGACACCCAAGTGCCTAATACTTGTGAGATGCAGCCTGGTAAAGGAAAAAAAAAGCATTAAGAGCTTTTCAAGATGGTGAAAATGCTTACGTGTTCTTAATTACATGAAGAAAAGAAGCGTGGAGAATGACAGGAAGAGAGTGAGTACGCCGGCAGACAGAGAGCGGCCCTGTCTGGCTGGTGAGGGTACAGGGGATGGCGCCCTCCCTCTGCTCGCCAGGGCACTTTACAAAGCAGAAGACACACGGATCTTGGTAAATGCTGAAAACCCCAAGCCCAACGGCCAGATTCACAGCTCTCTTATGATTTATTTTAATGCACTTCAGATAGCATCTAAGTGGGCACCAATTTACGTACTACTTAGAGCCAAAGATGTTAACATGTTTTCAAAGAGTTGTGCAAACAGCCCTGAGACTTGTTCGAGCCACAGGACCTTGGAGACCCCATCCCCTCCAGCCCTGGACACAGGCACACAGGCCAGGGGCCTCAGCTAGGCCCGCCTGCCACTCTGTCCTGGCATTCCATGAGGTTTTGCATCATCAATCAGTGTGCAAATCACTCTGCCGACACAGGCTTCGCTGCGGTGCCCCAGCTCTTGGGTCTGGCAGTCACAGCACCCCTCCTCACCCCTCCGACACTGGGGCTGGCTGCACCCTGGTAAAGGACGTGCTCGCCAAGTCACCTGGCAGGCTTGCCACCCAGCTCCCACCCCTGGCTGCGCCCACCTCACTAACTTCTCCAGCCCTCCCATCTCTAAGGAAGCAAACTATCCCCCAAAGCATTCATTAACATGCAATCCAAAGAAAAGAGGAGTCCAGAGCAGCAGAGGCTAACTGACTACTCTCCAGGCAAAACTGCTCCCCAAGTTCCCTCTCACCCAAGCAGAGCTGAGGATCGCAGGGCACTTTCAGGACTGCAAGGCCACTTGGCAATGAACACAAACATCACCCCTTCCACCTCGCCCCACACTCTTCCTCTTACCATCCCCACTCTGCAGATGAGGAGCTTAAGGCCAGGCCAGAGGAGACATACTCACACCCGGATGCTGGGCTGCAGAGGCAGAGGGCCAAGCCAGAAGCCCGCACAGAGCAGGGCAGCCAAGCAAACAGGAGGAGAGTCACAGGCAGAATGCAACAGGATAGGAGGCTCGAAGGTGTTTGTCCTGGGACACTTAATATGCTTGGAAAAGTTACTGTGGACCCCAATATGTGCACTTATGTGAGTTATGGCTACTGGTGCCTACCATATGAACAACTGAGACCTAATTTCTTAAAATGTTTTAAATCAAGTATTCATTTTAAAATAATGAATTCATACCATGCTAGCACTTTTTTGTGGAAAAAATGTTTTTCACAAAAATTTAGTGATAAGAAGGGCAATGTTTTCAAATTTCTGTGAATCTTTGTAATGTCTGGTTTGATGGGAGACAGTTGG